TATCTACCTTCCTCTCTTTCTAATGTTCACAAATATTCTTAAACTATACTATGTTTAAAGGCGAACCTTTTCTGCACTATTATTGATTTTTTAACAATTCATTTTCATTATTATTACCAATGTTGTTCATACCTTTTATCATTGCCATCAATTGTCGTTTCTTGTTTTCCTCTCTAATTGCCATTTAATTCATACTCACTATCGCCGTCATAATTATTTTAACGTCTTCATGTCTTTTATACTCCACTTCTCTTTTCTATCTCTCCACCTTCCTTTCTAATTTTTCGTAAATATTCATAATAAAACTTTTCCATCGAAGAGATTCTCACCGTTCATATACTTCCATCAATCCTATTGTCATCGTCACTGTTATCATTGCGTGCAATCGTAGCTCCAAATGGACCTATCGAATCAAGTGATCATCCTCGACGAGGCGCACAACATAGAGGACATATGCAGAGACGTGGCGAGCGTCGATTTCCGGGAGGACTACCTCGAGATCGCCGCGAACGAGTGCAAAGACATCGGGAATGCGAGGACCAACGATCCCACCGCGTACAAGAACCTGCAGGCCTACTTCCTGAAGCTGGCGGAGTTCCTGAAGAGCACCGTGCTCAAAAAGATAGTAAGTTGTTCATCGGCGCGCGTTTCGTTGCAACGTTTTCGTTGGAACGTTTCTATCGAAACTGTGATCACGTTTCGCTTAGGAGGACTACAGCGACCGCTTGTCGAGCCCGTACTGGTCGGGCACGGAGCTGTTGGAGCTCTTCAACATGCACGACCTCGGCGAGACCGCGTACCCATCTTTCTTCAACGCCTGTAGCTCCGCGATCGAGGACTTCAACAAGATGAAAGATGAAAATCGGATGCAGCCGGTCGGCAAGTTTGTTTCGGAGCCGGTGATCTCCACGGCCACCAAGATTCTGGTCGAGCACCTGATGTTCGCCATGAGGATGATCTTGAATTCGGAGTTCGCGAACGACTACAGGGCCTGCGTCACCGAGGATACAGTGAAGAACGCCAAATTCGTGAGTGCAGTAGTTATTAACGCGTTGACAATGAACCGCTAAAATTCCTGCGAAGTCGCAGCAATTTAATTAATTATGCTGAAACTAGAAAGTGATCATTTATCATGGTGGATGACCATGGAACTGTTGATGAAACGTCCCAGTCGAATTCAGTTTGTTTGAGTATATTGCAATGGAAATGTCACTTATAGTTAAATGAACATAATAACAATATAGAATATAATAATAATAAAGAATATAGCAATAATAATAATAAAGAATATAGTAATAATAATAATAAAGGATATAGTAATAGTAATAATAAAGAATATAATAATAGTAATAATAAAGGATATAGTAATAATAATAATAAAGAATATAGTAATAGTAATAATAAAGAATATAGTAATAATAATAATAAAGAATATAGTAATAATAAATAATGTATAATCACTAATAAAAAAATGTCGTCTACTGTTTTCCTCGACATTAGGCCATGGACAACACCTGGTTCAAGAGCAAGAAGATGGATAACCGTTTAAGAACCTTGAAGTTACTCTGCATGAACCCCGGAGTGATCTTCGCACCCCTAGCTCAGTCGGCTCGATGTATAATCCTTGCGTCCGGTACCTTGACGCCGACCACGTCCTTCCAAAGCGAGCTGAACACCAAGTTCACTCACGTGTTGAACACTGGCCACGTGATCCCGAAAGAGCAAGTGTACGCCACCTGTATATCCAAAGGACCCAAAGGCGTTTCTCTGAGAGCTACCTATAATATCGTCAACAGCTGGGCCTTTCAGGTATGAGCCGAGGTCTCCAAGTATCCAGATCTGGGCTAAGATATTTCAATTAAGAAGTAGAAATACTCAGAAATATTATTTACTATTCTATTAGTCTATTATTATGTTACTATTCCCACTAAAATATTGAGAAATAGAATTTCAAATAATAGAAGGAGAGTAGAAATACTCAGAAATATTATTTACTATTCTATTAGTCTATTATTATGTTACTATTCCCACTAAAATATTGAGAAATAGAATTTCAAATAATAGAAGGAGAGTAGAAATACTCAGAAATATTATTTACTATTCTATTATTCTATTATTCAATTACTATTCCCTCTAAAATATTGAGAAATAGAATTTCAAATAATAGAAAGAGAGTAGAAATACTCAGAAATATTATTTACTATTCTATTATTCTATTATTCAATTACTATTCCCTCTAAAATATTGAGAAATAGAATTTCAAATAATAGAAAGAGAGTAGAAATACTCAGAAATATTATTTACTATTCTATTATTCTATTATTCAATTACTATTCCCTCTAAAATATTGAGAAATAGAATTTCAAATAATTCAGTACAGCTTAATATGTTTAGTACATCTTATTCAGTATACATCTCCAGTACATCTTAAGAAAATACTATTCTCTCTAAAATATTAAGAAATAGAATTTCAAATAATTCAGTACAGCTTAATATGTTTACTACATTTTATTCAGTACATCTCCAGTACATCTTAAGAAAATACTATTTCAATCAATACTATTCTCTCTAAAATATTAAGAAGTAGAATTTCAAATAATTCAGTACTGCTTAATATGTTTAGCACATCTTATTCAGTACATCTCCAGTACATCTTAAGAAAATACAATTTCAATCAACAACTGTCTTCACCTCAACGAATTGATCTTGAAATATTATTCTTTTGCAGGACGAACTGGGAGAGGTGTTGGTCGATGTCTGCGAGTCCGTGCCCCATGGTGTCCTCTGTTTCTTCTCGTCTTACAACACGATGAACATGCAAGTGGAGAGATGGAGGAAGACGTCTATCTGGAGCAAGATCGTTAATATAAAGCAGGTATTCATAGAGCCTCGTTACGGTGGCGATTTGAAGGGCATCATGGACGAATATCGGGGGGTCATAAAGTACACGTCGACCGGACCGAGCGGAGGAATCAATGGGGCCCTGTTCCTGGCGGTTTTCCGGGGGAAGGTCGCGGAGGGGATCGACTTCAGAGACGAGGAAGCCCGCTGCGTGATAACTGTGAGTACGGACCATAGAAATTGAAATGTGGGAGATTAAGCATTCCTTCTGTAGGTCGGTATACCGTACGCGGTAAGAAAGGATCCGGTAATTGCTATGAAATTGAAATATAACGACATGAATACCGAGAGAGGCTTGTTAAAAGGCTCGGACTGGTACTCGATCCAAGCGTTCAGAGCTTTGAACCAGGCCCTGGGACGTTGTCTGAGACACGTGAAGGATTGGGGGGCGGTCCTGTTAGTGGACGAAAGGTTCGTATAATCGTGGAAACGGTGGACAATAAGGGATGGGTAAAAACGTTCGATTCTCGATTTCAGATTCCTGATGCCGGATAGCATCAAGAACTTGCCGAAATGGGTTAAGACGATGGTAATTCTTCTAAGCGAACGTTTATTCGATGCTGCTCGACGTCATTAGATGATACAATTATTGTTTTTTTCAGTGGATCCATCAAACGAGATACGATTTGAAGCAGCAACTTCGCGATTTCGTGGACAGACAGAAAGCCAGAGAGGAGAGGGATAAATAAATAGTAACAACGTGTTAACCATAAGATCATTTTACTGTACGACGGCGTGTTTTTAATCATCTATCGTGTACAAAAACATATATTACAGCCGATGAATTCATATACAAATTAACAAGCATTTATTTCTATCTTGTATTTTACAAGTTGAGGGTGTCTCTCTTCTGTATCATTCTCAGATGCTTTTTCTTGATTTTCTTCAACTTCGCCGTGTTTGTAATCTGAAATAAGAGTATTAGCCTGAACGAATGCCGTCATCGGAGTATACAGAAATATATTTTTATATATATTCGTGGCACTGTTACTGTTCATAATTACTGTTTTACATCGATCCTTTACAACCGTCGGTTATATATTTGCTACTCACCACTTGGACAATCTCGCTTTTCTTCTGGTTCTGTTCAGCACGCTTGAGGTTTGCTATTCTTCTTTGCCTCTTGGCTTCCTTTTGTGCATTTTTCTCTGCCTTGATCGACCTTGATAATTCTTTCACCCTTTTCAGGTCCTCCCTCAGCTTCTGCTTCTTCTCGAAGGACAAACGTATGCCCCGGGTCTTGATGATAGAGGAGAATCTGTAAGGAATAAGCAGCTGCGTCACGATACTACGAACACAATCCACTAGGAAGAATTGGATTCTGCGTACCTCTTCTTCTCTTCCTTCCACACTCTACCAGATTTGGGCTTGCCTTTTGGAATCTGTGGTTGCTGCTCCTTTTTCTTCTTAGTTTTCACGTTTTTTGTTTTTGAACTGTCCGTGTCATCCACAGTAGCGTTACTAGCAAGAATATCTTCCATTCTTGTGACTTTCTCAACGACATCTGTTTCCTCAACCATTGTAAAATTGTATCAACCGGGTATTCGGTCGCATGTAAACAATACAAGTTGGTTCTTGGCCCACGTGGATGATCGGCCATGTTGAAAAGTTCAGACAAACGACAGTGCCATCTGCTAACAGGAGCCGGAAACCTGTTACGATACTCCGTCTTGCCGGTATTAAAAGGTATTACAGAGCAACGCATCAACATATTTGTAATCATTTCTTGCATATTCGAGTTTGAATTAGTTGATTATAAACGATAGCACCAATTTTCTTACATGATATCAATGCAACAGGTTCGCCTGAACAGTTCTGCGCCTTTGATTTAGTTACTTATGTTCTAATTTTGCCATAATTAATGTTTTTAAGCGACCCTACATTGCGGATATGTTGCGCCTCTAGTGGAGAAACAGTGAAGCTGCTTCCGTTGTTCGTACAGCGCCAATTGGTGCAGCGGCGAAACGCTCAAACTATTCGCCAAGTTACCAACAGTCGAATTCGGCGAACATCGTACGAAGCTTCATGTTTTCTCCAATAGAAGCGCCACGTATGCAATTTACAGAGTCATCAAAAAACATTAATAATGGCAAAATTAGAACATAAGTAACTAAATCAAAGGCGCAGAACTCTTCAGGAGAATCTGTTGCATTGATATCATATAAGAAAACCAATCGACAACGTTGCAAAACGTAATTAATTGGTCTTTCAAGTTTGGTTAATTAACTAATTATATTTTCCATTATTGATAACTGTTTTTCTTACACGATATCATTCTAACACTACTCTATCCATTCCTCTCTTCTATCATTCTCATTTAATATACATATTCTTAATTTTTCCATGAATCTCTTCGTCCATTTCTCCCCCCCCCCCTCCCCACCCCATTGCATCAAACGTATTCCCACATCACTGTTTTCCTCCCCATCTCCAGCATCTGCTTTCTTTCTCGCTCTCTATACCTCACTATCCTGATCGACCTAGCTTCTTTCCCTTTCCTTTTTTAATACTCTTATCTATGTACTCCTACTCTTATCTTCCTATATCACTTGTTGTATTCCTCTCTTTGCATCCCTCTTTCATTCCTCTTACATTCCTCTTGCATTCCTCTTTCATTCCTCTCCGCCACCTCTCCCTCTTCCATCTCATCCTTCCCAAAATTCACACTATCTCTTCTCTCGTTCATGGACTTCTTCCTCTCCCTCTCCTATTTTGACAGATTCGCCAGACTTTTCATTGACTTAAACTACTTGCTAATTGTAGGTATCTCGAATGGCTTCGGCTGGCTTGTGATTGACTTGTACTACTGAAACTTGACATTTTCCGAAAATTTCCGGAAAAAGTAGTACGAGTCAACGTCAGGCTAGAAATTCGAAAGAATACCTCCTCACATATCATGGGCTCCTGATATATGTAGAAGCTCTTACGAAAAATTTTTGGATATTAGCCAGACGTTGGTCAGGCGTTGGGTAAGGGAATAGGGAATGGAATGGAATGCATTAGGAATTGTGAGATGTAAGATTTAGGAAAATTTATAAATAAAAAGACGTGTGGATTGAGTTTGATAATACTTTTATTTTCACACATTACAGTTCTTATTCTATTTTACAATCATTTTACAATAATGAAAGAGAGTCAGAACGAAAACGGTACTCGTTGTGACTCACTTTCTTACAGCGACGACTTACTTAACTAACAATAAGGTATATAAGATGTATCAGTTTATAGTCTTTATGCAAATAAAAATTATTATAAAAAAGAAGAAAACGATGTTTCATTTTTTCTCCAATAAAGTTACCATATATGCAGGATTGTGGGGCTAATATTTTAACTCCACGCTTATAATTAAATTAAGTATTAAGAATTGTAATAATTAACAATAATAGTTGATTTAATATTAACAAGGTGGTCGAAGTTTCATTAACATAACTCATTGACTTAATCAATATTAAAAATTGTCAATAAAGTAGGAAATGCCAATCACCTACACCTACCGCTGATTCTGCATGGTGGCGCCATCTGTGGATCGCTCAAAGTTATTTGTAGATAATTTCGACGAACAATTTGAGTATTTGGCCACTACATGAAGCGGCGCTGTTTTAATATTTCCAACAACAGATGATTCGTGTCGGATTTTACATAAAGTCTTATGCAGATCGTGGTAAGAATTATTTGTACCTACGTTTAACATAAATTAATTGTCAGTAACTACACCTATGAGAAAGTTGATTGTTCTCCGTATATTTTAAGATATTAATTATCTATCTTCCCAGCAAAATACCTTAATAAATTGCTTTCTAAAACATTGCTTGGGCTTCCCCTCCTATCAACTACGTCACAGATTAACCTTACTAATCCAAGAAAAATGTAATTATTAATGAATGACAATAAATTATAACGAACTGTGTTCCTACCTCTATAATTCCACTTCGACAAATTTCTATAATTTTATTAATATCGCACATTGTAAACACATTTAGTAGAAAGTACAAACGTGTAGTAGGGTAACCTGTCCTGAGATATTGGTTCAGTCTCGAGTCTCGAACAACGTTGTGAAAAGGCACGAATTTATGAAATATGTTGTAAGAGTTTCAACAAATAATCCAAGCCTGAAGGTTTATTTTCAAAACTCATTCAACTTACCCTTTCAATAAAAAAGGTAAGTTACAAATGCCTTTTTACTACTTAGCTTTTAAACATTAAGTATCGTAGGAGATCATGGTTATGTTCTGGAACAAGCCCATACAATAGTAACATTAATCATTGTAATTGTCCAGCATGTCGTGGTTTATGAATATAATACAATCGGCGGTCACCGCGTGGACTCCGCAAATAATGCCAGTGCGATATCGCTACTTTGCGGGCAAAGTGAAAAGGGGTCCTCTTCAACGGCGTTACGGTTACGTCGATCCAGTAGAGAGGACAGGTCTTTTGCCTCGTAACAGCGACAAGAGATTGCCTATGCCAATTTACAGACCGAAAAACCCTTGGAGGCAGGATAAAGCATTGTTCGGCCAAAACGATTACATAGACATTTTAGGAAACGATAATCTTCATCCAACGAAAATCCTATACAATGTACCATCCTGGCTGAGAGGCGTGTCGGGGAACGAATATCAAATATTAATACGAAAAAAGAAAATGTGGAAGAAGGGAATACTTCCAATAGCCTGCCCAACAAAATGGAGGGACATGCAGAAGAGAATGAACTACCTGCATAAGTACTTAAATAGAAAAACTAAAACCTTTCCTAGTGGTCAGTAATGTATATTTGAGTAATAAAATATGAAATATAATCGTACATTGAAATAATTTCGACGTATGCCCATTCATTTTATGCTGTTAATATTCCGGCCTTCGTGATAACAATAAACCCTAACTGAATACAAAATGAAGAAAAATCGGCTGTGTCCGATTTTCATTTGCAATGGTGAAACGGTGTAAATATTTGGATCTGGTTCAAACACTTTTTAATTAATGTTTATTGTAAAAATGTGAATGATTGCTCGCGCGTATGTACACAAGTAGTCAAACGTAAAATAGTGACAGCCAAAAGAAAGATATATATTTCTAGCGAATATTATGTATATCTTGTAAGTACAGTTAGAGGACAATTCTAAAAAAATTTATGCTGTTCTAGGGACGCGTATATGTATATATGTACAGAGGAGTTAAGAGTATTGTCCATTTTCTTAAAAAATTAACATTCAATCTCATCGTTGTAAAGCTCTACGGTATTTTGTTGAAACGGCTGCACGATTATGTTTGCTAAGTTATGCGATCCACTGTCAAATGTATGCTGACACAATTTTCTCTCTTACTCACCCTCTCTTCCTCTATCTCTCTCTCTCCCTCTCTACCACTAATATTAACTGATAAAAATCTCTTCATGTACGTTCTGAACTTTCTGTTATATTTCTCATTCAGTAAAATTATAATAGCATCCGAGAGATAAATATTGAGTGTTTTGTGTTTAGGCAATCTCACCGCGAGACATCGTGGGTCACGACGAACAATTTTCAATTTCTTCTTTAATATATGTACATAATTGTAATGGCAGTCACACTGAACCTGTTAAAATCCTGTTTTAACCAATGTTTTATCGTTTTATATCCGATCGGGAACAAATGAATTCACAAATGATTTTGCAAGAAAAATAGTAGCGTAGTCTCGTAGTGTTTACTGGCGTCTAAGCTTCTAAGGCTATGTCTTTCGTTCGGATAGACCTGCAGTTGATATGGTTTCCCGGACTTGACGAGGGCGTCGATCAACTGACTCGTGTGAAAGAAGTGCACGTTCTCGTCGATCAGTCCGTGAATGATCAGCAATCGATTCTCTTCATCGGGAAATTTATCCACATACGTTAAAATCGAGCTAGCCATGTAGCCAATTCTATTGTTCTGCGGTAAATCCATGTAACGTTCAGTATAGCCAGTATCATAGAAGTTCCAAGACGTAACCGGTGCGCCAGCGATCGCTAACTGAAAACGTTTAAATAATTAAAACGTTGTTCGCGCTCTATCCGAGACCAGGATAAAATACCTTAAATATCTCAGGGTACTGTATCAAACCCATAAGGCTCAAGTAACCCCCGTAAGACCAGCCGTGCAGTGCCACGCGATCCAAATCGATGTAACCAGTTTTCTCCGCCAACCATGTCAATACTTCGACTTGATCGCTCAACTCGATCGTTCCTAATTTATGTTGCAAATAACTCTCGAACACTAAACCTCTGTGATGGGAGCCACGATTATCAATTAACACCACGCAGTAACCACGAGCAGCCAGCATGTGCATCCTCAAATGCCTCATTCCCTGGAAAAACAATGAACGCTGTGAAAAATCAGCACCGGAAATTCAACCACCGATGCTATCTACGGTTCAGCGACGCCAACCTTAAATGTGTTCGATACTAATTGCACTTCGGGACCACCGTAAACATTCAAAATCGTTGGATATTTCACGCCCTGCTGAAAATTGTGTGGTTTAAAAATCATAGAATAAATCGTGTCGCCGGACGATATTTTATGCGTGAAAATTTCCGGGGTGAACAACTCGGATTCGGGTGACGACGGCTCGAGCAGGTATCCGACAGGATTTAGACAGATAGTGTCCACCGTCCAATCTTTTTGCGTTATTCTGAACACCTATAAAAAAAAATCAATCGATAGAAATGATCCCGAGCGATCCTTAATCGACGTTGACCGTGTCGCCCGTACCTGGCAAGTGGGTAGAGTTTTGATGGAGCTGTATACAGTTACTAACATCGTGCACTCTTTATTGAAATATATACTGTTGTAACTGTAACCGGGCCTCGTAAGCAGTCTTATCTCCAACGGCCGATTCAATGAAACAGCATAAACGTGTTGCTCCAACGGACCTTCGCGCAAACCTCGAAAATATACAATGGAGTTGGTTTCGTCTACCCACAGCTTTCTGCCTAACACCTCCCACTCCCCTTGGGTTAAAGCAACCTTGGACGTGACCCTAGGTTGCAAGAAGACACTGTCCATTCTGTCCAACGGCTCCTCGACTTCATTGTTTATGCCTTTCGAGAAAAACAACGACGATTACACGACATTTCAAACGCGACCAACAAATACGTTGATGCTTCAAATGTTCAACAAATGTTCGTTGATGCTTCACCTGATATTCTAGATGTTATCAGATACAGATGCCGATAGTCGGATTCCTCGCTACCCCAGAGGAACTTCACTTCCGACGGATTGTCGGATGGTAAGAAATACAGGAGATCGTTTAGATTGATCCATGTCGAACTTTGCTCAGAATATATCACCTGAACGCTCGCCGACGATGGTGTGAACTGATTTTCCGAATTATATACATTCGGGGGCGGTTCGGAGAAATTGTCTATCGATAGTAACACTAATTCGAGCCTTTGTTGCTTTCTGTCCAACAGCTGGACCCAGACGCTAAACGTGGACAAAGAACGTTAACAGGCACGATCGTCGCGCGAGGAAAAACGCGAAATCTATAAAAAACATGATTCTGCACTTACTATTGCGCGTCGGGCGTCCATCCCACTCTGACCATATATTCCATCCAAGGGAACATAATGTGCAGCGGATACTGAAGCTCCAGGATGTCGATGTTGACTATTTGCAGCGTTTCCGTGAGACGGAATTGCACCATTTTCAAATTACTTTTCGCGTTCGGGGTGCCGGCCCTCGGAAATCGAAACTCATCGATCTCCTCGGAGTTCGACGGCGACGGGAAACAAAATATTTTCACGTCGCTCTCGTCGACTTCTTCGTAGACTATTCTATAAATGCCGTCGTCGGATTTCGGCTGCCACCAATAGCCGATGTACCTGCATCAATTTACACGGTGTACATTACCGAAAACACGGACGCCGCTTATACGTTGCTACAGACCTGGCGAACTCTTCTTGCATCACGTAAGACGGAGTGCCCGCTGTAAGAGGATCGTCCGTTAGGTTTCTTCCACCTTTTCTCGCATGTGTCAGTCTCAAAGAGGAACCCGTGATGCTGTGCGACAGATACAGGTCTCCCGAACATGTATGAGCAATCAGCGCGTTGTTCCATGGGCAAATTTGCGGGCACAATTTCGCGCCGGACGTTGCAGCTCGTATTTCTGATGGAAAAAGCGGACCAGCCTGCGATTCGAATACATTTCTTGTTAATTACAATTTCAATCGGATACTGGAACTTGCATCGTAATCGTTACAAAGAAGAAAATTACCATAAACCCTGTATCTATACATTGATAGAGGCTACTAGCTGCTGGGAAAACTAATTTCCCACTCTCGGGATGAATTTCGTAGCTGGTAATTCCACAAGTGACTAATCTTTTTCTCTCCCATAGTAACTGTTCCTCCCTCGATAAGATCTTAGTGCTGGACACTCTACAACCGTGTAAAAATGGATCCGTGAAGCTATACAGAATTCAATTTACGCTGCTCGACCCGACAGTACACGCGTCGGAGTTCGGTGAACCTCCACGAGTACCCCGCGTATACTTCTGTTTCAGAAGTCGACGCGTGTACTGCCCGCTTAAAGAAGAATTGCCTTACGTTTGAAAATTCGCTTCTATCACAGGTTGCCAATGGAGAAGGTATCCGTTGGCAAGATCGAAGTGGGCGATATCCACGTACAGCAGAGTGGTCTCCCATCTGTTGTTGAGGCTGCTGAGGAAATATATTCTGGTCCTGGAAAAGAAGAGAACAACGTTAACCTAAAGGTGTTTTATACGGTGTTCCGTGTACGAACTAGCCGAGCAACAGAAAAGAGAGTCAGAAGCGGATTGAGGTTATGTTAGAGCGAGAAGAAGTATGTTCGTACCGTCCATCGGGCAGGGATCGAAAGGTGATGCAGCCAGGCACGGAAACGGCAGAGATCCCGGACAATTTTCTGCGTAGATCGCTGACGACGACTCTGAGCTCGGACCAAGTTCTTCGGTTAAGCGCTGTGACAAACAGGGTCCGGTCGTCCCCTACGTTGCACATCTCCATACTTTCTCCGTTTCCCAGCAGTCATTCGTTAAAACAGCAACAACTAGGGCACGATCATGTTCCAGACGTTCACCTAGAACCGACAGACGGTGTCCGCGATACGCCGCGAAATCTGCTATCCAGCGACCGTGCGCTTCCGCAGCTTTATTTTTAGGTTATGCCCGCTTCGGACGGTTCTCACTTTCACCTTCTCCCCAGACTGTCAGCCTCTCCCTTCTCTCGTCGGGCCACGACATTAATTTCGCGAATTCGCGAGCCTTGACTCTCCCGGATCCGTTTTCGGCGCGCTCGCTGCCAAAACTGCTCGGCAACCTGTCCGAAAACTGGCCAGCGTGACAGCCTTCCCCGTCTCTTGGCACCGTTTGAAAGTCGACGGTCGGACTCCTATTGTCACGGCGGGGCAACACGTGCGGTATAACGCCGCGGATACGCCGCGCACAGATCCGATATATCGGACTTTCCCTTTTTACTCGAGATTACGTTCGCCGATTGCCGTCGCACCCTGACAGAAGGTGACGATAAAAATAGCCGGGAGACGCTGTTGCATCGTCCGCGTAGCTTTCTTTCACCGATTAAATTCTTCCGGGCTGTCGGTTCCGTTTTCACGAACCCTCCGGCGCGTGTCAGGGGTTCTCACCGGAAGTCGTCGAAGCTACGCCGCTTTCAATTAATCCGCCGATCCGCAGGGACACGTTCGGTATCGTCACATATTCTCTCCGCTATAATTAACGTTTTGTTAGCGCTTGTTCTTACCGCTGAATCGAAGCACGTGCGTCGACGTATTTAATTGCTATCAATTACAGGGAATTATTCCTGAGCTGGCGGAGCACTCGAAACGTTCGCTCCGCGACAATGTACAGTAATGTATCTCTAATTGACGCTCAGATGGTCAACAAAAGTGGACAATTTGGGAAGAGGGGATACGATTGTTCGAGCCTTGCGGTTTATTTTTATAGTTATACACTATATATACATATATATATATATAATTATAGTTATAAAAATTATCCATTTCAGTGCACAATCTGAGCGTCAGTTAGGGAGACATTACTGTTCTTCGCTTCTGTAGAGTAATGTCTCCCTTACTGACGCTCAGATTGTGCATAAAAATGGACAATTTGGGAATATATTCGATCCTTGCAGCTCATTTCTATAATTACGAATTGTCAGCAACTATGAAAATGAGCTGCGAAGCTCCAATAATCGTATCTTCTCTTCCCAAATTATCCATTTTACTCGATAATCTGAGCGTCAGTAAGGGAGACATTACTGTAATCTCTAAACGACTGATCCAAACGTATACTGCGAGGGGTGTCGAATTAACAAGAACTTCATGCTGAACGTAATTCCGGTGTTATTATTGGCAAACTTCCGAGTCCGAATGCGCCGTGCAACAGAAGTGATAAATTCGATGATTTATCGCGGACGAAATTCAATTTGGAGCGGTTCGATGCTCGAAAAAGAAGCTCGTGAAAAAAGCTCGCATGGAACGACGTCGAGCGATTCGTGATTCGTCGGGGGCGCGCTTTTACCGGCCACGTGCAATCAGCTGTTAAATATTTGATATTATCCAGCGGCAGGGATCCTCGGCCGACTTTACACACGCCTCTGAATAATTTCTTTTTATTATCGCGTTTCTTATTCGTCTGCTGGAACCGTTGCAAATGTTTAACGACGTCTTTCCCGAACGGGTCTCGCCTGTTAAGCACTTTATTGCCCGTGCCGCGCTCTACCCTGGAATTATGCAAACGGGTGGACGGTTTTGCGTTCGTTTTGTTTCTTTTTTTCACGTTTTTTTACGGCGAAGCAATCAGTTCGATTTTAGCCCTGCTTCGAACGATGGCAGCCGACAGACGAACGAGCGCCGACAAAAGACGAACGCTATTCGTAACGTTCGCGAACCATCGCAGCGACTGTCATAACCGTTCTCTCGGCCGATAAGCTTTTTTTCGGTATGTTTTTCGGTATGCGTTGTAGCATTTTGCTCGCTCGATCGTGAAGCGCGTTGTTCGCGTCCGCCGTTTTTTCTTTCGAGAAGCGTTTTTAATTAAATTATTCTAGAATCCTCGTTTATTACAGAACTGGAAACCATGGCCGGCTACTTAAGGGTGCCCCGCTGTTTCCAGGCGCGTCTCTGTTACGGCGAGGAGACGTCAAAATTCGACCTGTACTCTAACAAGAAGAAAATCATGCGACACTACGGGGTAAGGATAGTCGTAGCTTCGATTAGCCTATCATAGACTGCGTCGTCTCGCAGACAAGCAGCGCCGGCGACTGTGTACCTTTTCGAGACTCTGCATCCCCTAAAAATTTAGCTTGGAAGACTGCAACGTTTGCATTTTTTTAGCAGTCTTTGCATCCCCTGGAAATCAAGCTTAGAAAATTGAGACGTTCTCGATTTGCTTGACTTTGCAACCCCTGAAAATATAGCCTAGAGAACCGCAATGTTTTCACTTTTTTGATAGACTTCTGCATCCCCTAAAATACTAGCCTAGAAGAGTGCGATGCTTTCGCACTGCTGGACTCTGCGACCCCTAAAAATCTAGCATCGGGTTATCGATATTTTGGTAGACTTCTGCATCCCCTAAAAGACAAGCTTAGAAAAACGCTACATGTTTTCGCTCTGCTGGACACTGTGACTCCTAAAAATCTAGCTTCGGGTTTTCACTTCTTTGGTAGGCTTCTGCATCCCTTAAAAGACAAGCATAGAAAACCGCAACGTTTTCGTTCTGCTAGACTCTGCGACCCCTAAAAATCTAGCTTCGCGTTTTCACTTCTTTGGTAGACTTCTACATCCCCTAAAATTTTAGCCTACAGAACTGCGACGTTTTCGCTCCGGTAGACTTTGCATCCCCTGAAATTTTAGCCTAGGAAACTGCGACCATTTCGCTCCAGTATATATAGATTCTGCATCCCCTAAAATTCTAGCCTAGAGAACCTTAACTTTTCATCCTGCTAGACTCTGCGACCCCTAAAATTCTAGTCTAGAAAACCGCAACGTTTTCACTTTTTTGCTAGACTTTGCATCCCCTAAAATTCTAACTTAGAAAACCGCAACGTTTTCACTTTTTTTACTAGACTTCTGCATCCCCTAAAATTCTAGCCTAGAGAACCTTAACTTTTCATCCTGCTGGACTCTGCGACCCCTAAAAATCTAGCTTAGAAAACCGCAACGTTTTCACTTGTTTGCTAGACTTCTGCATCCCCTAAAATTCTAACTTAGAAAACCGCAACGTTTTCACTTTTTTTACTAGTCTTCTGCATCCCCTAAAATTCCAGCCTAGAAAACCGCAACGTTTTCACTTTTCTAGCAGCCTCTGCATCCCCTAAAACTCTAGCCTAAAAAACCTTAACACATTTTCGCCCTGCTAGACTCTGCGACCCCCAAGAATCTAGCATAGAAAACCGCAACGTTTTCACTCCTTTTGCAACGTTTCCGCATCCCCTAAAATTTCTAGCCTAGAAAACCGCGACGATTCCGCCAGGAATCGTTCTTCAGAAATTCGGACAGGGTGAAAGAGCGAGCTGACCGCTCGGTTAGCACTTCGATTAGCACCTGGGTTAAATAACGCAGATGAACTGCGACGAGCCCGCCAGAAGCCACGCATCTGTGCTTGCTCGACGAGGGCGGACGCGCGGACAGAGACAGCAGGAAAACAGGGAAACAGGGAAACGAGGGAACAAGGGAACGAGGAAACTGGGCGGGTAGGTTCTCGTTTTGTGTGTCGGCCGGAGGGACACTCCCTGTTCCGGGGAGCCGCAGAGGATCGGTCCGAGTGTACAGAATCAACTAGACGGCCGCGTGATCGATACCGCGGAAGCCCAAGGCCATTGGATGAAAGCCGGGGAGTCCTGCCGGAGTCCTGCCAGAGTCCTGGCTGGAGTCCTGGGCGAACTTTTGGCACGCGTGCATCGACGCGGCGTGTCTAAGATCACTATGACGATGTGTCTGAGATCGTTCTGGCGATTTGTCTGAGATTGCTATGGCGGTTTGTCTAAGATTGCTATGGCGGTGTGTCTAAGATTGCTATGGCGATGTCTCTAAGATCACTATGGCGATTTGTCTAAGATTGCTATGGCGATGTGTCTAGGATTACTATGACGATGTGTCTAAGATTGCTATGACGATGTCTCTAAGATCACTATAGCGATGTGTCTAAGATCGCTATGGCGATTTGTCTAAGATTACTATGACGATTTGTCTAAGATTACTATGACGATGTGTCTAAGATTGCTATGACGATGTCTCTAAGATCACTATAGCGATGTGTCTAAGATCGCTATGGCGATTTGTCTAAGATTACTATGACGATTTGTCTAAGATTACTATGACGATGTGTCTAAGATTGCTATGACGATGTCTCTAAGATCACTATAGCGATGTGTCTAAGATCACTATGACGACGTCCCTAAGATCGCCACAACAGCGCCTCGAACTTCCGCGATCCACGAGAATCAAACATTGGCAGCCTTCGACCTCCCAACGTCGCCTGTCCGACTCCTTTCCATGAAAGCTACGCCCTAGCGAGTAACCTTGCTCTTTCCTCGGCCGGAGATCGATAGAAAGTTGCCCAGCCACCTGTCACCTTTTCGAGAAACAACCTTTAATCGCGAAGGGACCTCGGATCAATCGGCGAAGCTAGATCGCGGACAGATCTAGCCTTGCCCGGAGCAAGGTACCAAGGTCGTATATTTTGTTAGAAGGCTACCAGAGGCTCCATACTCTCCTTCTTCGATCATCTAGAGATGATCCTCTGCAACGCATCGAACTCGTCACCCGAAGGGGTAGTTTTCGTCAGCTTACTCACAGCTTGCTCGTCTGCTTATGGGGCTGCGATATGGCCGCGCTTGCACGAACACCATGAAGAACGTGCAAGGGAACACCGCGATCAGTGACCTAGAAGTCGGCACAACGGTATCCGATATCGGCGAGAGTGGGTTATCAAGTCGAGTGGCGACGACACGTGTTGGTATTGACACTGTTGGCCGACGGTGACGACTTCCTACGTTGGCGGCGTAAGGGTAGGCTGCATCGTCTGCCCAACAGCGGGACTATTATATGTATTGTTCCAACGTGTACGAAAACGTTCGTTCCGAGGAATTCGGGATAATATCAGAGATTCGTGCTGCTTCAGACTTCGACTTTAATTCAGCGTTTGCAGAGCGACGATGATTTCCTGTATAGACTGTGCATAGGACGGGGGTGGCATCGTGGGTGACTTTATTTTTAACTCTGCTGTCCTCATCACCTTTGCCTCGCATTCGAATCCCTTCGGGCCGTCGTAACCGGACGGACGAAAGTTTGACATTTTAGTTGCATTTTAGTTGCGTTTGTGGATTTAGTTGCTTAATGTTGTTGGGGTTTTAAGGCGACGATACGTGCATGGGAGTGTAGTGGATCCAAACTATTAGGAAGTGTTATATCTTTCTTGTATTTATGTTATATTATTTTTATATTGTACTATTTATATTGTTATTTTTGTATTATATACTATTTATATTATAATATTTATATTATACTTTTATATTATACTAATTATATTATACTATTTATATTATATTATACCTACCAATTATATTATACTATTTGTATTGTATTATTTATATTATACTAATTATAATATACTAATTATATTATACTATTTGTATTATATTATTTATATTATACTACTTATATTATACTATTTATATTATACTATCTTAGTATTATATTTTGCTACAATATGCTATCTTAATATTATATTACATTATTTCTTGCTATTACATTTGTATTATATTATTTATCTTATACTATTATATTATACTAATTTTAATAAAGAGACATATAATACATATTATACGCTAATATATTATTATCAATAAATGTCACTTCTCACCGGGGGTGCGCGAACACCCCTCGTGGCTACTTTTGTTTCAGAAAAGTTAATAATATAATTACTAAGTATAACTATTATTACAATTCATTATATTTCAAGTACAATTTTAAATATTACATAAACGAAGATGGGATCCTCGCAAACATAGACGCCAAGTAGAACAGCAGGGTTGAATCATTCGGAAGCGGCCATAACCCAAAGATACGGCTTCGTTTCTCTTCCTTATTCGACGGGGCCCCTTAAGAATTCCAACCGTTGGACAAATGTCGCGCGAGCCTGTCTGGTAGCTGGCACAGTGCTCCTCAAACTCGCGAGGTCGCAGCATTCGGGAGCTTTTACGAATTCAGGGGCAGCATCGCGACGCTACCGAGCAGCGGGCGGTATTTTTCATTGGCCTGTGCGCGACTCCGTTTTCTTCTCCGGGTGCCAGCGGATGTGCAGAATGCGATGCGGCGGAGCGCGACGGTAAGGAGGGAAAACTGTAATTGCGTGCAAACGGAGGCCGGCGACTCCGAAGCTCGGGAACGAACGCTGAAAGAATAACGGCGAAAGCACGAAACAGTCGACGGCGCCCGGGGCCATGAAAGATTCAAGCTCCGTATCTCTTTACCCGGTCGCTCGTTCTTTACGCGAGCGCACTCGAGCCGAGTGTCTCTTGGCGCGCCCTTCTTTTCTCTCGGCCCTGTCTCGACTACGGCGAACCGGTCAACTATTTATCAGCAGTCTGAAACGAGTTACTGCGAATGTGCATTTCGGCGGAAGGGTCGCGGGCGGCGACTGGCCACCCCCGCGCCTCGCCCCGGCTCGCTTTCCCGCACCTAAATGTTTCAAAAAGACGGCGCACGTCGCCCTCGATCGGAAAAGTTGGCCGACGATCGAACGCGCGACCGAATTCGTCGAAGACGCGTTTTTGATCCGCGGCTCTCGCGTTTGATCCGCGCCTCCTCGATCCTCCCGCACCCTGCAGCGCCTATTTTTCGGCGAAATCGACCCGAACGGCGCGCCCTTTTGGTAAATTGGCCGCCCCGCGGCGAGCAGTTGTTTCAGGCTCGACGCCAATGCGCGGAACATTGTGCCCGCCCCGGCCAGTTTGCGCGCGAGTAATTATTTCGCGGGTATTGTGCATCCGTAACTAGCTTTCCTCAAACACGATGTTGCGCGAGGGTAGATCGAGCGCAACGCGATCAGCAGAACGCGCGGGGCATTTCCAGACCGGCTGCGCCCGTCAGCGGCGCTGTTGGGGGCTTAAATTCCGAACAATTTGGTTAGCAAACGCGTTTCCAGCTTTTCAACTTCCACCGAAATTCTTGTCGACGTATCGCTGCATT